AGAGAGGGAGAAGAGAGAAGAGGGGGGGGGGGGGGGGGAGGGAGGTGAATTCGGAGTTACAGTGTTTTGTCTTCCCATATAACCATTACGTGTGATGGACCCCTGCTTTTCTGGAAATGGCTGAACACCTGTCTGCTGATGGGAAGTGGGAATTAATTCCTTGTTTTGCTTTGCTTGAGTGCATAGTTTTTCTTTACCTGTTAAACTCAAACCATGAATTTTCTCCCTTTTACCCTTCTGATTCTCTCCCCCATCCCACCAGGGGGCTGTGAGTGAGGGGTTGCATGAGGCTTAGTTGCCAGCTGGGGTTAAACCATGACACATGCCAAAGGAAAATGTCAGTCATTTGCCTCCTGCAAACAAAGCATGACAGGATTTTGACTAACAGTGGTTACAACTTGCTGCAGGTACTGGCTGCTCTTTAAGGTGAAGAGGTTGCAAGAGGCCAGGCAGTTTCTTCCAGTTTTTCTTCTTGCTCCAATTCACACACAGAGGACAGTGAAAGCCCCACACCCAAACTCCCAGCAGCTCAGCACATGGGGAGCAGGCTGTCCTTGGGCAGCTGCCTGATCAGCAGGACACATGCCAACTCACCCTTCACAGTTTTACTGTTTTGATGAGTGAACTGAAGGAGCAGAAGCCAAAACCTCTTCTCCCGGTTTCAAGGTCACAAACTGGTTTGGTAGCATCACACTGCAGTACTATCAGCATGTTTTTATCACCGTGACTATACAATAGTATGATCAGCTCAGAAAATTTTTCTGTGCACTGCTGATGCTGTATGTTTTAATTGTAAGTTTTTAACTCCAGCTGGCTGTCATGTGCAACAATGCAAAACTGATACGAAGATGTTCAAGCACACGGCTCAGCTGATTTCCCTTTCAGAAAAGATTTAATGAAATTTGGCAGAAAGAACTGATTCTCTAACTACAGCACACTTCTGCCACAATGTGCTGTAAATATGAGTACTATGGAAATGATGCAAAATTAAGTAGTTACTTTAAGACATTTCTATCCTTTGTTACATGTAGCCCCTACTGTCCCTGAGTGGGATCCGGCTGGCCACCATTATCAGCTACAGTAGTAGGCTTTCATCAAGGCTTTCATCAAGGAAAATATAACAAGTAATGAAGATTCTCTATGGTGCTGGAAAGCTATAGCAAAAGCAGCCTTCATCCAAATCACACAGACATACCACTGTTTAAGACAAAGCACATATTGGTAGCATTGTGTATCTCTGTAGTAGAAAAACATTAAAAAGTCAATCAGAGAGAGACAATAGAAAAATACCACGGAGGCAAAGAGAAACCAAGAAGCCAAGGACAAGCCTGAACAACTACTGGGCTCATGACCCTGAGTGAATGGAGAAGAGAAGTGGATTTAGAAAGAGTAAAAGAAGCAATTGCTGCCTGTCATTTGATTCTCACTCTGTTCAGGGAGATGGGACCACATGCAAGCTTTTGTGTCTGAGCCACAATGGATCAGAGAGACATTTGGTTAGTGCCTGGATACTTCTGATATTACAGAAAGGTTAGCTGAATTACTACACTGATTTTAAGTGGGTAGGTGAACATGGAAGTATATTCAAAAGCCCTAGAAGGTGACTGCTTTTATGGTAGGCTAAATGTTCTGTCAATTTTAAGTAATGTTCTCTAGATTATGCAGTGCTTTTGCTACCTTTAAATGGCTCATGGAGAATGTACTGTATGGCATGTGCCTCTTTCAGACTGTTTGTCCTAGATGGATAACAAATCTGGTACATGCTAAATCTTTTGGTCAGGAACTAGTGCATTTACAAATGGTCTGTGATAAGCTTAAGAAAGCCAATTTGAAACTGAACCCAAAGAAATGTGAACTGTTTTAAAAAGAGATAATTTTCCCTCGGTCATTCGATCAGCAAGGAAGGAATTTCCACTGATAAAGCCAAGTGAGGGAGTGCAGAACCAGCTGGCCCCTTAGATTCACACAGCTTTTTGAGGGTCTGCTGTTCTTCTTGTACCACAGAAGAAGCTATTGCACACAGCGAGGTAGAGAAAAACTTTGAGTAATCGAAGCGAGATGTGGTGGAGTTAAAGAGGGGCCACTTGTGACCGTTGCAGTGTTGCCTTACACTAGCTCTGTAAATCCTTCTCATATCAGCTACAGCTGTGCGTCCTACAGAGCCTGAGCCCATGGGCCCCAGGAGGCTGAAAGCCTGATAGGCATGAAAACACTTTATCTTGATGATTCAGGTAAAGAAACAACTGAAAACATTGTATTACTGCACAGAACGAAAAAAAATTAATAGCACCAATGCAAATACCAAAGCGTCTACAACTCCCCAACTGAGTCAGTTTCTAAAACAGCAGTTAAGATTACTACAAAGTACGCAGACATAAAAAAACCCCAAACATATACATATGGTATGTCTCACTGTTGAAGTAGGATATGACTAGAAATTATTCCTCCAATCTTCCCACAATGACCAGTGCCATTTCTTGGCTACCATAATTTTGGGGATTGCATCCTCCAGCAGCTTTTGGGACTCAAGGTGAAAAGGAAAAAGCTAGCTTGTAATGGCCACGGGAGCCTGAAAAGGGTCAGAAGGATAGGATCTCATCCTGTTGCTATATTGCTATATTGTTATAGCAATACCATACTGCCAAATTAAAATTTCATCTTGTATTATATGTAACCAGTTACAGAAGTTAGTCAAACAAGGTTGTATTTGCTTTCCTGAATGTTTAGGCAGAAGACAGCTGACCTGGAGGTATTCCAACTTCCCATCCACACTTACGGCAGCTAAATGTATGCCTGTGTGTGAAAAACTGGTACAGAAAGATATAGCTACATGAGACTAAGGAAATGTTTTCCATCTCACAGGTACTACAGTGGTTCATATGGCTGCCCAGACATCTGAACTTTTCCAAGATGAGCTTCAGAAAAGCAAACAAACATTCTTCATAAAAGCATCTGAAATGTATTTGGTTCAAATAAGTCTGAGAGTTTTCTGGCTTTCCAGTATATATTTTTAAGAGTTGTGAGAGAAGAACAAATCCTGAAAAATATGACCATGACATAGTATCTGAGAGACACTGTTCTTAAGCAGCATTCACTAGTTGGATGGATGGATGAAAGATGGATGGAAAGATATCCTTTCCAGCTTCTGAATTTTTTTAATTGTTTG